ATTATTTCCTTGGCTATAGGAAAGATCATATGAAATAAAATGTGTTTGTGTGCATGTGTCAGGGTCAAAGGTCAGAAAAACATGTCCTTAGAAAAGGTTCAAGTTTGAGCAAAGGTTCTTGGGCGTGAGGAGTTCGAATCCATCAGTCATTTCTCAAGGTTAGTGACTCCAAGAATCACAGTATGGGATGTCAATTCACTCAATAATGTATCTTCAGTACACCACACAATCCTTTTTGCTTCAAGAAAGAACTAAGCAATGCTCATGGAGCTGACACGATACTTTTCGTCCAGCATTTTTCAACTTCATTCAAATTCAAATCGGTTTTTTTTTATTGTATTCGTTTGATATTGTTGAGGAAATCAAAAGTATGATCAGATTATATGATTTTAACAGCAAAGCTATGTAAAAGGTATTTTTTTTTTCTATTTCATTTCGGAGTAATTATTAGAATTTATGGGGAATGATTTGAGATAACTTTGAGTCCTTTTAACAGCAGCGAAAAGATAAAGTTATTAATTCTTTTCAATAAAATCGACAATAGATATTTCCATTACTAAATACTTGTTGCATTGCTTTACTTAATGCCGCTCTTGATTTACATTAAAATTTATGTACAGACAGAAGATTATTTGAACTACTTTCCAATTTCTATTGGGGATTCTAAATGTCAAATTCATCAATCACTCACATTAGGGTCTGATATATGGATCAATTCTTCACTACCCGAGGTCAAAGAGAGTTTTGGGGCAATCAAAGTGAATTTTTCAGATATTAACAGTCTTTTCAGTGAACTTATAGGTTACCGTCTTGCGGATCTCCGTCTCTTTCACTTTATCCTTACACCGGTCGAAATTCAAGCCATTACTGAACAAAAGACAGCTTTTGACACTGTTGATATGATTAGCTATTGGAAAAAAACAATAGCTGATCGATCGACCAAAATTTGAAGAACAATGTTAAGTGATAAATATATTATGTAGATAAACGTTTCTCTACAAACTTCAAGATTTTTTAATGTAGATTTTGTCTCACTAAGTTTTCATCTGATCTGTCCTCATTACTTTTCATTGTTGTCGATTGATATTTCCTAAGATTTGTTTGAATCTACTCTTCAGCATGCAAAGTAAGAATTAATTTTGATGTTCATAACGAATTCAAATGAATATAATATTTCTTTAGCATACAGAGCAGATTTTGCTTTGTATTATTTTTCTTTCTCGAAATTCATTCTGAATTTGAATTGGTTTTCGTTTCTCTGCATAATAATCTTTATCTTTTATGGTCAGGTTAATCATTTTTCTATGGATGACTTTTATAAAAGCTCTATCGTGACAATGATCTTTATTTTAGACTTTCAGAACTACATCGACTTGCGAACTATTCATAATATCCACAACAGAAACGAAGGAGAATATACATACTATACGAAGTCAATACATCAAAAACTCGTAAACTACGAAAATTTGAAAAGTATCTTTTCGAATCTTGAGAATTCTTTCTTTTGTTGGCAGCTCTGTTTATCATCTAGAAAAATAATCTGTCCTATGTGAATGTAGAGATTGAGAGAATTTTATTAGATTATTTGACATAATTTGGTTGTATTCTATCGAATCTTTTGTCTAGTTAACCCTTTGAGACTGGAATTTTTTTTTCAATCAAAAATGATTTTGTAATCGATTTTATTTGGCTCAAAGTGATTACATAAAAACCTTCTGATAATCAAAAAAAAATAATTTTTTTCATCTATTACACAGAATGCTAATTTGCAAGTGTAACACTTGATGCTCGATCAAACTTGTTATCCTTTTGTACTACAATAGGCACATCTTCGTGTGCGTTTTACAGGCAAATGCATTTCATTGTCAAAATGAAGAATAGACTGTGACGAAGCTACTTGAGAATTCTTAGAAGGAGATCTTCCACGACTTATTCGTTCAGTACCAGAGCAGAGAGACTTTGCTATTGAAACCAAGTAATTTAAATATGATAATTTATCTTCAGCTAATTGATTGTAACAAATAAACGAATTGGAAATAGATGCATTGAGAAAGTAAATAAAAAGCCGAAGCCAGTTTCTTCAAGGCATGTGATCAAATATATAGTACACTGAGAAAAAATATGGTACCATACAAAACTCACGCATGGTTCCGATTTTTGTAACAAAATCGAAACCCTTCAGGGTTTCGTAAATATTCCTTTTTTTTTGATTTTGCAAAACAATAGTTCATTACAACGATGTTTCCACTTGAGTCAGTATCCTAGTAATAAGCTCATGCACCGTACAACAAGTAAGATGTTATATCGAACTACTTTTTTATCGAAAATAGAAATTTTGAAAAAAGGTTCCGTAAAAAATCCTACATACCTCACAATGATTGTGAGTGGTCGAAAAAGCATTTTCAAAGCTTTTCTTATTTGACTAAAGAACCTTAAATGGTTCGAATTTCGTTACAAAAATCGGAACCTTTCAAGGTTTCGCAATGTGCTCAAAAACCTTTTTAGGTTTCGCAACATGGTGAAAAACTATTCGAGGTTTCGTAGCAGTCCAAATGGTTTAGTATCGTACCTTTTTTTTACAGTGTAGGATATTCTTTGGTTGAATCGATCAACTTCACGCATGAACTTGTTGTAATCGTTTATTGCTTTTGGACAGTTAATCGTAATAAATTGGCCATTTTTTGGTTGTCGAGAAACTGGAACAACTTTATTGTCTTCACAGTTATTTGACGCCAAAAACACGTGTTTTGTATCCATCCATTTAAAGATAATAGTGTTTGACACAATTATTGACTTGCAATTTTCTTGTTTCATTTTCTCTTTCACGGCAAAATTCGATGGAACACCCACACAATCTGACCTAATCGTTCCAGTAGCTATTATGTTTTGTAACTTAAACTTCTCTAATAATTGAATCGAAGTAAAAAAAATTGTCGAAATATAAATACTTTCCTTCGAAATTATGGTCAGAAATAAGACTGAAAACGGCACATTCTCCTAATAATGTTTCCTGCTCATCGCGGTGTTTTTTCCTACGTAGATTTTACAGTTGAATAAGTAACCAGTAATGGAGTCGCATAAACACCAGAATTTTTAGTCTCTTTTTATTGGTTTTACAGGTATGTACTGCTCGAGAGTTGATCTTCCTTTGAATTTTACCATAGTCTCATCGATTGAACCATAGCGTCCAAAGTGATAATTGTTTTGAAAATTTTCCAGTAAAATTTCAGTGAAATTCTTAATCTTGTAAATTCTATTGTAGTCCTTGGATTCTCGTTTTGATTCCAATGAGTTATCGGTCAAATGTAAATTATAAAATATTTGAAGAAAACGATCTCTTGACATAACCGAAGAGATAAAATTATTACGAAAAATAATATCTTTATTCCAATAAAGTCTCATCTTTGGCAAGTCATGAATTCCCATTAGAATAATTATTAAAAGAAAGGATTCAATATTTTTCTTGTTTATATCCTTCCAGCTATTGACTTTTGTCTGGCTTTTTCTTCGTTTTTTATCTTTTCCATAGATATTTGTTTGATCAGTAATTAGTTTTAAAATTTCTTCGGTGAGAAAGTTTCTGAAAACTGAAATTAGAGTTATTTCTTTGAGAGAAACTGAGGTAAAGCCGTCATTAGCGACATGACTTTCATTGACAGAATTCATCTCCTCTTCATTTGCATCTGAATCTTCTTCTGAAATTCGAAGTTCGTCTAGATCGTCTATTAAACCATTATAATCAAAATCTGATTCGCTCTCGGTGTTGTCTTCACTGATACATGAATCAGAGGACTCGTCATAAGCTTCATTATTTTCATAGACTTCCATTTGTTTGGTTTTTGTTATAACCAAAATAGAAAGAAATCAAATATACAAGTCGTTTTAATTCCCTCTGAACGAAAAACTAACAAAGTGTATTGAATAAGCAATAAAAATAGTGAAAGAAAATGATAATTCTATTGCACTAGCAAGAACAATGTAATTGTATCAATGAGAATAGAAGTAGATATATATACAAGAGCAATAGAAAGTAGGAATATTCTCGAAAACAATATATTAGAAGAAGAGAGAGAAATAATGACGTCACTGTACAGTAGTAGAAAAAAAAAAGAATCTCTGAGAAGGACCTATACGACAGAAAGAAAAGATGTGCATGGGATGACAAATGAAGTAAGATATGACCTTCCAGGCCTAACGTTTTAATGTAAATAAAACAATTTTCTCTTTATTGAAAAACAGATGGCACAACCCTTGTACCACCGGCTCCAAAGGGTTAAACCGTTCGATCCGAAATTCGAGAAATTATTTTCCGAAGTCTTTCCTAAAGATTCGAATAACTTCTAACGAAATCACATTAAATCTGATGAGATATTACATTGGAGTAAATTGTTCTCGCTACCGATCAGCGACAGGAAGTTTTAAAACTCAAAATGCATGATGTATGCAATATATGCAATTAGGTCTGAGTTTGTACAATGCGATTGTAAATGTACGTCAGCTGCCAAAATATTTCCCTTTCATTTTGAATCCGTTCTTTTTCATATTCTAATGAATATCAATTAAAATAGAATAAAGCAAATAGTTGGCATCTTTTTCTTGAAAATAGAGATCATTAATGTTCGCCTTCGTCTCATTCATTATCTACACTGGAAAGTAATTCTAATAGTCATCTGGTACTTCATGAAATGCATAAGATTTTTGAAGTATATGCCTTATTCAATATGACGATGAGATTCTCCATTAAATCTCTCCAGTTGCTGAGTTGTTTCTGCAATTTGTTCTAACTTAGATTGCACTTTAAAGAGACAAGTTTCCCTTTTTAGACTTCTCTAAGCCTACGCTAACAAGCTTTTCATCCTATCTTTGGAATCTATGAGAGAAACAGAGACCCGGAAAAATTTTTAATACGTGGACGTAAATGACAGGGTTACATATATACGATTTTCGAGTATGCAAAAGATGCAAGATCTTATTTATGATGTCGAACTTTGATAATTCGAATGGTGACACTTCTATCGTCAGTTGCTTGGACTTCAAATGTAGCATTGGCACTTGGATCAGTATTTTGTATCCGTACTATAGCTATTTTTCCACTTGATAACCGTTTCATTTAGAGAGCGTGGGTGTGGGGTGTGGATGTAGGTTGGGTGTTGGCGTGGGCGTGCGGGTGTAGGTTGGGTATTGGTGTGGGTGGGTGGGTGTTGGTGTGTGTAGGTGTGGGTGCGCGTTTATTCTATTTTAACTCACACCTACAACCACACACCTACACCCATACCCACACCCACACACCCACACCCACCCACACCCGCACTCACACCCACACCGACACCCGACTGTCCAAGTGGTTATAAAACAGTACAAACAGGTTCAACATATTGCCTTATTTGTGGACCGGGTAAGTCGATAAAGCGCTTATTACTTTCAATTAAATCCTATACACACATGCTGCTTGAAAAGTATAACAATGAAAAATGTTTGCGAATATCCTTTCTATTATTGTTTTACTCGTTTTTCAATTCAATTAGAAACGAACAGAAACTCTCTACATGATCAATGCTATACTTTCAATAGACTCTTTATAAGAAAAATAAATAGGATATCAATAAGATCTCTAGTAATAAAAAAGTTACAGTTTGTCCAAGAACAAACGGCAAATTCCTGGATATTTCTGAAGTTTTATTTTTATAAAAATCAAGTACATTTTATGAAACCTTTGAAAACGTAAACGACTTTTACATTTTGAGCACGACATCAGTAAGATTTTTTTTTGTATCAGAAATATAATACTCAATTGAAATTTGACAATTTTTGGACATCCGCTATATGTGTGTGGTCATATCAGATTTTTCTGCCTATCATTATCCAAGATTTACTCGACAGTTAGTTTTTTTTTGCCAATGAATAATATTTGATGTGAAGTCGAGTGATCATAATCATCTCAATAAATCTATTCAATGTCACTATTTAAACTCAAAAAAAAAAATCAATTAATTCTGAAAGAAAACATTTCTAAAATATGAACTCAAAATTTCTATTACCATTTTGTAAGTCCAATTCAATAAAACAACATAGAATTAGGCCTAACGTTTTTATCAGTGTATTCAGTTTTCTTATAAATGCACTGAATACATTGAATATGATGACGAGGAAAAGATTGCAAAATATTCAATTCTATATTATTAAATGTGTCAAAGTTGAATTGATGACAAGATGTTTTGCAGCAACATCTAACAAAGAGCTTGAATTTAAATAAGAAAATAATAGTAATTGTACGAGAATAATTATGCCTTAGATTTTTGACTAGTTCATTTTTTTATTCGACAATCACACAAATAGAAGAGAATATTGTTTAAGAAAAATTTCTTGTTCATCATATCATTGTTTAGGTCGTTACTGCCCAGATCCAGCTGGTCTACCTGTTCTATGTGCACCTGGCTCAGCACAAGTTAATTTAGGATCAGTTCAGTGTGAATTGTGCAAAGATGGCGCCTATGCTGATAAACCTGGCATGGCTGTATGTATTTCATGTCCACCTGGATATGCTTGCAGTAGTACAACTCGTGAAGGTCTCCCATGTCCAACCAATCGATTTGGTGGTCAAAGTAAATGTGTCGACAACGGCGAATCAATGATCGGGTAAACAATTGTGCATCGCAAATTAGGATCATGTCGATAATATTTTTCTGTATGAACTTTTTTTCGATTCATTGTACCATGGTGCTTCTCAAATAAATCATTTTGTGTTTCAGTTCAACAGAATTTTGGTTGTTAATATAATAATCTAGAATGTCCTAACCTTTCATCCATGAAAAAAATGTCCTTTAGAGTAAATACCATTGATGAGAATATCACTGAGGAATGATCTGTGGTGGTATGATCATCAAGCAAAATGTTCTTCAGTATCAAAATCTCCTTTGGGCAAAGTATGAATAGTGCTCGATGACAATGTTAATAATTTAATTTAACTTATTGTAACGGATTGAATTTTATTTTATTTCTCTTTCACAACTAAAAGGAAAGAGTAGATGTGGGTGCTACTATAAATTTTATAGTCACAATCTACAGTAACAGCCACAACCTTATGAAATATTTAATGAGGTTTCGTGCATTTTTACCATAGTATGAAAGTATAGTAAAGTTCTACGAAACTTCAGAGAATTTGTTTGCCATCTTTTTTTGTTGTCAATGTATTTCAAGCGAGTTGGGCTAGAAACATCTTTCTAAAAAGGAATTTAACGTTAAAAAAATGGTGCGAGGATAGAACTATTCTAAAAATTTGAAATCTTTTTTTTT